ATTATTTAAAAATAAATTTAAAAAAGAGGATACCTTTAACTTAAAAAAGTGGAAAAATAATCCTTAAAACAAAATGAAAAACAAATGGCCAAAGATGCACCCCCTCCAATACACCCCACACACACACAACTCTTTCTACTCCCCCCAAGGATATTTTTTAAAACACACACACACATAACTTTTTTTGATACTACAAAAAAATATTAAATTATATCTAAGCTATAAGCATAACTTTTTGATTCTAAACATAGTTTTTGTCAACTACTTTTTATTTTTTAAGAACTTTTTTTTTATATTTTTAAGAAATGCAAATTCTTTGTTGTTGTCCATATATATATTGTGTATAGAAGAAAAACAAATATTATTATTATTGTAATTAAAAAAAAAAATAAATTAACGAACAAAATGAAAAAATGAATCTCATTAAATATGTACTACACAAAACCGAAACATAAACTCTGTTGATGTGAACTCTAAACGAAAAAAATATTAACTTTAATAATGAATAAAAAAATAAAAGAAATGAAAAAAAACAATTAAAAATAACTCAAAATGTAATGCAATGGAAGAATTTTGATTTTCGATTATTTTTTTTTTTAATTATATTTTATTTAGTTCCAGGCCATTAATAAGGAACATTCGATTAAACTTTTCAAATTGCCCCCTTAAGCTGTATTTCTTGGCAATATTGATCTATTTTTTGTACTATTCTCCAGAAGTCGAGAAAGTTTCGTAATATTACAATAGACGCCTTATATAACATCTAAAAGTCGATCCAGTGATGTCCATTCGCCCTTCCGCCAGTCTTGCTACATCGTAATATTATTGCCAAACTTAGATCGATTTCTGGTAACTCCCCCACAAAAGGTCAATTTTTTTAAAGAAAATAATTTCTTGCACAGAAAGAGAAAGTATAATCGGATTTTGCTCCAACTTTGCAAATCCTAATATTTGCATCAGTGCCAGGTCAGGTGTGAAAATGGACAATATCGGTGCACTCCATCAAGTACCTGCCCCACAAAGGGTCAAAATTTTGAATTATTATAACTTTTATAAAATGTAATGGAATGGTCTTCAAATTACGCTCATCACAATATTTTCATTAACCTAAGGTCTGGTGTAAAGATGGAATATATCGGTCTACTCTTTCTGGTACCTCTCCCACAAAGGGTCAAAATTTTGAATATTCATGAAGCTCATAAAACACAAAATAAACATGCGATTCCATACAGACTTGGCACATCTCAATATTTCCAACACCACAAGATCTGTTATAAAGATGGTAAATATCGGACCATTCCTTCTGGTACCTCCCCCACAAAGGGTCAAAGTTTTGAAAAACAAAAACAATCATAAAATCCGAAATAAGCATCCGGTTCTCTTCAAATTACAAACATCACAATATTTTCATTAACCCAAGGTCTGGTGTGAAGATGGAATATATCGGTCTACTCTTTCTGTTACATCTCCCACAAAAGGGTCTACATTTTGAGTATCCACGAAGCTCATAAAACACGAAATTAACATCCGATTCCATTCAGACTTGGCACATCTCAATATTTCCATAAACACAAGATATATTTTAAATATGGTAGATATCGGACCATTCCTTCTGGTACCTCCCCCACAAAGGGCCAAAGTTTTGAATAACCAAAACGATCATAAAACCCGAAATAAGCATCCGGTTCTCTTCAAATTACAAACATCACAATATTTTCATTAACCCAAGGTCTGGTGTGAAGATGGAATATATCGGTCTACTCTTTCTGGTACCCCTCCCACAAAGGGTCAACATTTTGAGTATCAACGAAGCCCATAAAACACGAAATTAACATCCGATTCCATTCAGATTTGGCACATCTCAATATTTCCATAAACACAAGATCTGTTATAAAGATGGTAAAGATCGGATCATTCCTTCTGGTACCTCTCCCACATAGGTTTCAATATTTTGAAAAAGCAAACGCTCAATGAGAGCGAAATTAGCATTAAACTCTCTTCAAATTTTAAACATCCAAATATTTTTGTTAACGCTAGATCTGTCGTTAAGATGACATATGTCTGCAAACCCCTTCTGGTACCTCAACCACAAAAGTTCGATATTTCCATTACTTTTATCTGTCCAATATAAAGTATAGGAAGTATACGATATAGTCCAAATCTGGAATGTTGTAATATTTATATCATACTTAGGTCAGATACGAAGTGGAAAATATTATCCAAGTGCTTTGAATAAACATAACTTAAGGCTGGGACTGTACATCTGTCCGCAAAACCGATTGATACTATTTTAATATTTTTTTCCTTTTTTTAAAAAAATAAGAATTTTAAAGTGAATATTAAATAAGACCTTCAGAAATTTTCTCCTTTGTCTGAAAAAATATATTTTTATAATCTCTTTGACAACTTTAAACACGTATTTTGCCTTAAAATCATCCGACTTCGATGGTCCTTTGTATAATCTATAGATGCTTCCAACTTAAAATTAACGATTTATTTTAGGCCGTTTAAAAGAAAAATCACAGCAATCATTACAGGGGTCCCTTTCCCAGGAGTATTTATAGTTTTTATCTTTCACTTGTTCTATAGGGTTCTCCTTATGAAGGCTATGAACATTTCATTTTGATAGGCTATAAAGAACTTTTTTGATGATTCATGAAGTCTTCGTGTGGATGAGGGAGGTTGATATGTGCGCATTTTAGGAAAAAAAATTTTAATTGGCATACTGTAGAAAACATGCTCTATTCCTAATATTTGTTCACAAAGTTCAACATTTTCTTTGAAACTCTCCTTACAGCTTCTCCGGTCCGGACTCCTCTGTAAAGATTCCATTAGAAAAAATAAAGCTTCTCCATTGCATTACACTTTGAGTAAAAGGAAATATACTAAACAGACATTTTACTTAACTTATTAAGAATAAAATTATATCTTCTCTAACTATAAACACAAAAAGAAAAACAAAAACATGAAACTCTAATTCTACGTGTCTTACATTTACATTATAAGTGTTATTATTAAAATAAAAATCAACAACAACAACAAAATATATAAATAAAAAAAATCAATTTATAAAATAACAACAAAATCTATTGAAAAAAAGAAAAAAACTCCTAAAAATGGCTAACAAATGCAAAAACCTAACCTATATTTATACTAATTTATTAACGAACACTTGAAAATAAACTCTTTAAGTAAAAAAAAAAAAACAAAACAAAACAATGGAGGCCGTATTTTTGGTTACACTGGAAAGCGGTAACCACAAATAGCCAATTATATCTGTAATATTTCACTCAACAACAACAAAAAACCAACAAGGCTTTTGTTATGAATTTTTTTATATTAAGTATTTTTCTTTTTTATTTTATGATACTTGTTGTTAAGTTTGTTTTTGTTTTCTAATTTTTAAGTAAATAGCTATGGGAAATTATTACAAAAAAATCATGGAAAACATTCGATTTTTTAAAAAAAAGAAGCATATTCTCGTTCATACATGTCTCCATTCATTTTTCCCATTGCTCCTTTTTATAAAAATTCCATTTTTTATTTAATCAAATTTTAAAATTATTTTTCTTTTTCAATTTATGTTTTATTTTTGTTAATCTATATGAATTTTGAATTTTTTGTACTGAACGATTATTTTTTGGTAACCAGTTCCATATTTAAGTTAACCTATCAAAAAAAAAATTAAATAAATATTTTAATGGAGGAATAATGTTATTTGTTTTTTTTTTTTTAATCTGACAGTCTTAATCCTGGGCCGGTTGGAACTGGGTTGTGCCAAAGTGTACTTAACTCGAATAAGCAGTTGCTCTTGTGGTAGCCGTGTCTTGTTGCCAAAACCTACTTACCTTCCCAATCTCTATTATCGGGTCAAATCGTCATTTTTTAGAACTGCACAACATTTACATCTTCCATTACTACTAAGTTGCAAAAACACAAGTAAAAATGCTGTAAGTTCGGACGGGCCGAACTTCAAATACCCTCCACCATTTGAATAGAATTTGGCAATTTTCAAAAAAAAAAAATCGTAAAAAATTCTGTTAAAATCTTAACAAGTAAAAAACATTAAGTTCGCCCGGGCCAAACTTTTAATACCCTCCACCTTAGGGTAAAAGAAACATTAGAAGAAATGTTGCAAAAACCATTAAAATGCCGAATATCGGGAGGTACCGTTATATGGGGGCTATACCAAAACGTGGACCTGTAATTACAATGACTCGCCACACAAACTAGGACCCGTTATGACCTACAAATACCAATTTTCAGACAAATCCGTGAAAAAATGTGGCAAAAATCATCAAAATACGGAATATCGGGAGGTACCGTTATATGGGGACTATACCAGAACGTGGAACTATAATTACAATGTTTTGCCACACGCTCAGGGACCCGCTATGACCTACAAATACCAATTTTAAGACAAATCCGTGCAAAAATGTGGCATAAATCATACCGAATATCGGGAGGTACCGTTTTATGGGGACTATACCAGAACGTGGACCGATATATCTCATTTTCAATACCAACCATCCTAGACACAATGCAAATAGCTCTGCTAAATTTTGGCGCTCTACGTCAAATAATGTGGGCTGTATCGTGATTTCAACAGACAGACGGACAGACAGACAGACGGACATCGTTAAATCGACGAATATTTAAGGATGTTACAAACGTAATGACAAAGTTAATATACCCTCCTTTCCAAGGTGGAGGGTATAAAAATACCAAAGGTAGCCATTATATTAGGGTCTTTACGACGACGTGGACCTACATAGGCAACTTTTCTCATAAGCCATTAAAATATTCTAATTCGAAACTTTGAAAAAAAAATTTGGCAAATAATGTTGCTAAAATCATCAAAATTCCGAATATAGGGAGGTACGATTATATGGGGACTATACCAAAACATGGAGGTGTTACAAACGGAATGACAAACTTAATATACCCTCCATACTATAATGGAGGGTATATGAGAAAATACAAAACAAAAAAAAAAAACATTTTCTTGAATTTCATTCGGTCATTGTAGCCCTCCCCTGGACCTTGGGCATTTTTTTATTTGTCGAATCTTCCAGTTCTTTTGCCTTATAATAATGTGGTGCTACTTCCAACAGCCATTTACTTTCAATTTCAATAACCTGACGCATATACTCTTTGGTGGTGAATACCAACTCATGATAGAGTACCCATCTTGGCAATTCCTCAAACAGTGAAGAATTTGGATGTATCATAACGGTTTGATTATGTTTTATCGTCTTATAATTGCCACCTTTCGAAAGACGTGCCACATGATAGAAATATCCCGCCGTTATAGCTTTACGAACATTTGTTGTTTCCGGCAGACATGAGACCATATCGATTTCGACACGTTGCATCAGGCCCACCAACTGCTCGCGTACATCTCGGGCCCGTTTCATTGAACGATATTGTATGAAATTCTCATAACACCACTGGGTACTGTAGTCGGTCTCAACCCATTGATTGTAGACCTGCATGAGACTCAGATGATCACCGTGTATGTGATTGAAGTTTTTTCGCGCCGTATCGGCATGTATGATTTTATCTTTGGGCCTGTAGAATATTGCACTGTTCACCGAGAGCATGGCAGCAATTGAAACCAGCTCCTCGGAACATTTGTATCTGGAAAAATTGGAAAGAAATTAAAAAACATCGAATTTGTACTTCAATGTCCACTTACTTTTCACTGGCCAATAACATTTTGCCCATCATTGGATCCACAGGAAACTCAGCCATTCGTCGACCAAGTTTTGTCAATTCTCCATGATGATTTAAGGCTCCCAGGGCGTAAAGTTGTTCCAATGCCAATACCAATGTTTCATGTGGCGGAGGATCCAAAAAATCAAAATGTATTAAATCATTAATACCCAAGGCCTTGAGCATAAGCACGGCATTACCCAAATTGATACGCTGTATTTCGGGCACAGTATTATCTTCCAATTCATGTTTGTAGGCCCATGCCGTATACAAACGGAAACATTTACCCGGTGCAGTACGTCCGGCACGTCCAGCCCTTTGATTTGCCGAGGCTTTAGAAATTGGCACAACCATAAGCGATTCCATACCGGTACGTGAATTGAAATTATTTTGCTTACAAAATCCCGGATCAATGACGTATATAATATTGTCAATGGTCAGTGACGTTTCAGCAATGTTTGTGGCCAAAATAACTTTGCGTGCATTCGGTGGGGTGGGTTCGAAAATCTTGGCCTGCATGTCACTGGGTAAATTGGCATAAACGGGTATTATAATTAGTTCCTTAATTTTGGAACCCAAACGTTTGACACGATCCGCCAAAACCTCCTGACACGTTTCGATTTCATCTTGACCTGTCAAGAATACCAAAATATCTCCCAGCGGTTGGGTGGCATGAATCTGTAACACCGACACACAGCATGCATCAATATAATCCGCTTCCGGTGCTTTTGTATAGAAAATGTCAACGGGATATCTTCGGCCAGGTATTCGAAAAATGGGTGCATCATCAAAGAATTGGGAGAACTTTTCAGCATCTAATGTTGCACTGGATATTAAGAGTTTTAGATCTGTACGGAAACGTGCAATATCTTTAACCAAACCAAACAAAATATCCGTATGCAAGGTACGTTCATGGGCCTCGTCGATAATCATTACACTGTAGGATCCCAAATCAGGCTCTGACAAAAATTCCCTATGCAGGGTACCATCAGTCATGTATTTGAGTATTGTGCGCTCTGGAAGGGAGGAGATAATGAAAAATATTTTTTCACTCATAAAATACTTGTCGTTACTTACCCGAGGTACAATCTTCGAAACGTATACTATAGCCCACCTCATTGCCCAGCTTTACTCCCATTTCCTCCGCAACACGGGCAGCCACGGACATGGCAGCCACACGACGTGGCTGGGTACAACCAATTTTCTTCTTGTCCTCTGTGAAACCTGCCTCCACCAAATACTGGGGAATTTGTGTGGTTTTTCCCGAACCAGTTTCTCCCTCAATAATGAGAATCTAGGACAAAATAAATAGTATTTAATCTGTTTATAATCCAGAAGTCTTTAATTTAATTTTCCCCCTACCTGATGTTCCTTTATGGCCGCAATCAAATCCTCTTTGAACGGATACACCGGCAATGATTTCTTTGTCTCTTCGATGGTCATTCGTTTCCGTTCGGCCTCGGACAACTCTGGTTCTTTTGATGTTTTATCCTTTGAGCCATCCATAGTCAGAGCTTGTATGAAATCGATTTGATCGTCCAACAATAGCTCATATTCCTCCTGGGCTTTTGCATCTTTGGCGCCAAATTGGAATCTGGCCGAGGCCAGTTGCTCCGCCTCCCATTTCTTTTGTTCCGAATGTGGAAGTTTTTCATTTTCATCAACCTCTACATATTCCTCTTTTTCGCCTTTTTTCAAATCCCTTGGCATGTGATACCTTTGGATGCGTTCCAACTCACGGGCTTTCTCATGCTCCTTGGCTATGGTCAGCAGTTGTTTTTTGTATTCACGTTCCTGTTTTTCTTTTTCCGTTAAACTAGATAAGAAAACAAAATTCAATAAGTTTAGAGACTTATTAACCTTGCATTCATTCACTTACACAGAATCCTCAAAGAGATACTCATCATCCAGAATGTCTGCCTCCAACTCAGCCACTTTATCCTCTTTTCTTTTCTCTAGATATTTCCTTCGGGATTCTATACGCAATTTTGGTAATATCTTATCCCTGTCTTCAAGTTCCAATTTTAACCGTTTGGCAGCCTCCTCAATGGCCTTGCGACTCGAGGAGGCTTCCATAATTTTCCTAGTACGTTCTTCATCTCGTTTCTTTAAACGTTCCGCAAACTCATCTCTTTCTTTAATATCTTTCAAGCGGGTTTCTTCTTCACTGTCCAATTCTTCAGAGCTACTGCTCTGGGCTTCCCTTTTCCTATTTCTGGACATGATTTACTTGGAATCTGGCTGCCTCTCTTTGCTTCTTAAACTACACAAAAAAAAACAAAGTAAACGTTAGTTCAATAGAGATGACCGGCAAATGAAAATAAACTCGATAACAAATTTATCGATTACTGCTATTTGCAGTAAGCGTATGGCAACGCCAAAGAATTAGTTCATTCCATGGTAGAAGTATTCTTCTACCATGGCTCATTCCAAGGCCCACGTTCGTTCACCCAAAAAGTGAACAACTCGGGATCTCTATTGCGTTTCTTATGTTTTCCATTCCCTTCTGTTTTCTCATTTCTACGTCGGTGCATTTTCTAGGTTTTACACACAGGATAATTTCCAGTGACAATTGACCATTCACAATAAATAAATTTATCGATAAAAAAGCGATACTGCTTTTTAAAAAAGTGATCGATTTGCTTTAACTGTTTGCCACCTCTATGACTCATATTCATTGTATTTATTCCGAAGGAACACGCTGATGAAATTTTAAAATATCTTGAGTCTTGGACAAGAAAACTTTTAACTTGAATTGAAGATAAAAATAAAACACAAAATGCCTGCAGAGGAAATGGCCAACTTGACACTGGGTAAGTCTAAATATCAAATACTTTTGCGGCATGTGCAACCTCGTCAAGACTACACGTTGTTGAGGTGGCACACCATACATTTGTCGGCAAAATCAATATGTGCAAAACCCCCCAATATATAGTATGTATCTATATGTGAATGATAACCCCTCGAAATCTTGTAGGAGCAATTTACACTTCCGAAAAGACGGGAAGTGATGACAGCGGTGATGGTTCAGAATCCAAACCATACAAAACAATCCTCCAAGCTATGCGTCATGCTGGCAAGGAACCTTTCCCTGTCATTTATGTCGACAGCAAAGATCCCGAAGCTGTCGAAAAATACGAAGTGGCTGCAAAATCACAATTGAAAAAAATCCAAAAAATTTGGGTACGCGAAAACTACAAGAGTGCCGACAAGGAGAAACGTGAAGCCGAAGATGCCGAGAAACGAGATAAAAATTTGGAAGAAGCTAAGAAAATTGTAATATCTGAGGATCCTTCATGGTCGAAGGCAGAGAAAATTCGCATTTTCGAGGGTGGTGACAATCGTGGAAAACGTGTAAAAATCTGTGGTTGGGTACATCGCCTCAGACGTCAAGGCAAAGGTTTGATGTTCATTACATTGCGTGACGGTACTGGTTTCTTGCAATGTGTCTTAACGGATCGGCTGTGTCAGTGCTACAATGGTCTGACATTGACCACTGAATCGTCGGTGCAATTATTTGGTACCCTAAAACCGGTGCCAGAAGGTAAATCTGTAAGTAAAAATAAATTGTTTTATACAAACCCATATAACCCATACTTGTTGTGATTATAGGCTCCTGGAGGCCACGAATTGCATGTCGACTATTGGGAACTGATTGGTTTGGCTCCCGCCGGTGGTGCCGAAAGTATACTCAACGAAGAAGCACACCCGGATGTACAATTGGATAATCGCCATATTATGATTCGTGGTGAGAACACCTCGAAAATTCTTAAAATGCGTTCTGTTGTCATGCAAGCATTCCGTGACCATTATTTGCAACGTGGTTATTGTGAAGTCACACCACCAACTCTTGTTCAAACTCAAGTAGAAGGTGGCTCTACTCTCTTCAAACTGCAATACTTCAGGTAAGAAAAGGAACTTTAAAGACTCCTTTTGGTATAAATTATCTATACAAGATATACGGATGGTATCATTAAGAGTATCTGAGGAATATCTTTAATTTATGTTTTAGAAGATCCATAATTCAGGTACACAAATCATTGAGGCACTTTAAAGTCTTTTGAAGTTAATCTATTTCAGATAGACAATATGTGATTCTTCCATCTATAGACCATGTGTTTTATCTTATCAATAGAATATCCGTATAGATTCGCTTATATGTACAAATTAAAAGTAACTATTTATTAAATAATTTTATTTTTTTTTTTTTCAATTTCATAGCGAGGAGGCCTATCTCACACAAAGTTCTCAATTGTACTTGGAGACCTGTCTGCCCGCACTTGGCGATGTTTTCTGCATTGCTCAAAGTTATCGTGCTGAACAGAGTCGTACTCGTCGCCATTTGGCTGAGTATACACACATTGAGGCCGAATGTCCCTTTATTACATTCGATGATTTGTTGGATCGCCTTGAGGATTTGGTATGTGATGTTGTTGATCGTGTTTTGAAATCACCTTGGGGTCATATTGTACGTGAATTGAACCCAGATTTCAAACCTCCCACTAAGCCTTTCAAACGCATGAACTATGAAGATGCCATTAAATGGTTGAAACAACACAATGTCACAAAAGATGATGGCACATTCTATGAATTTGGCGAGGTTTGTATAAAAGTCACCAATACTCTAAAAAGAGATATACTTAATGGAGTTTTCTTTCTCCTTAGGATATTCCCGAAGCCCCTGAACGTAAAATGACCGATACAATTAATGAGCCCATTATGCTGTGTCGTTTCCCCAAAAACATTAAATCCTTCTATATGTCTGCTTGCCCTGAAAACTCAGAGTTAACCGAAAGTGTTGATGTCCTTTTGCCAAATGTGGGTGAAATTGTCGGTGGCTCCATGAGGATTTACAACAATGAAGAATTGCTCAAGGGTTATGAACGTGAAGGAATTGACCCCAAACCATACTACTGGTACACCGATCAACGTATCTACGGTGCCCAGCCCCATGGAGGTTATGGCCTGGGTTTGGAACGTTTGCTCTGCTGGTTACTTAACCGTTATCACATTCGTGAGGTATGCTTGTATCCACGTTTCTTGGACAGATGCAAGCCTTAAATTCAACTGCGATTAGGAACGCAACGAAACATTTATAAATTTAAAACAGCATTTATACAAATTGGTTACATAAAAAAGTATAATTTATAATATTAGGTAAAAGTTGCAAGCAACCAGATACCACAATAATTTCCCCCTCCATACAGCATGAAAGCTTACAGGAAATGCTTAAACAGAAATAAAGATATTTCACCCAATCGAAATCAAGTTGTTTTGGGATTATCCTCTTGTTCCGTTTGAATGTTGTCCAATATCTCTTCAAGGTTTTCGTCGTTCATATAGTTTTCTTCTTCGCCCTCCTCATATTCCTCATCCTCGGCATCATCTGGATCCTATAACATGATTGCAATTTTAAAAATACCTAAGTTTTAAATGTTGTAATTTCATACCTCATTTTCATATGAGTCCACTTCGGCTAATATTTGTTCCTTACGATAGTGATTCTTGAGAAGTTCCTTTATGGCATTGCTCACAATTTGCCGTACTTGATTGTCAAATCCCTGTGGCAACCAGCCGGACCGTTCATTGCACATAGCACCCGCCATGGGTGATGGAATTTTTTCCAGCATTTCTTGTATCTTGGGCATTCGTATGTCACAGTACTACAAATGAGGTTAAGATTAAGGCAAATATATCACATACATATCTCATGACTCACCCGCATTATACATTGTCTAGATCTGGGTAATTTGTGTTCATCAAAGTACGGATAATTAATGTCCTGGACCAAGGTATTCATTTCATAGTTCTCTAGCTTTTTCTTAATGGTTGTTTTGCGGTCGGTTACCTGTGGAAAATCGCTCATTAATTCAACGTACATCTTGAATCTCACATATCAAAACCCACAAATTCCGATACTCCAGAACGAAATCTTAGACGAAAATCAAAGGTTTGGTAGTAACGTGAATTGAAATCTTTACGCGGATCATAACCATAACGAACATATAATGTACGCCAGGGACCAGTTGAAAAATAATACGCCAACGAGGGTATAATACATTTTAATTTGTCTGGTGTCACACCCGATTCGTAGAGTAAGGCTATCCGTGTCCAAATCGGACATTCTTCAAATAACTAAAAATAGCAAAGTTTTAAAATTGAATTTTTTCAATTTCTGTAGCACATGACAAACCTTTTTGACCTTTTCCAACTGTTCATCGGACACATATTTAACTTTCATTTTCTTTACTATTTGTGGATCTGGTCGCGTTGGAAAACTGTCGGTCATATTAAATGCCACAGTATCACGTCCCTCGTAACTGGATTTGGAAAGGACTCCCAATGTTTCATGCATACCATCTTCTTTGGAAAAATCCCCTCGAAACATCGCTGTATGAACTGTATCCATTCGGGCGAATATGGTTGGCAAGGATATGACGGGAACATCCTCACGACTGGAAATTAGAATGTACTTTTAAAGGTGTTTCCTGCCCAATATCAATTTGATCTTCCCAAAGAGAATATCCTTATAGAAATAACATGCCTCATTGATTTTTCTTCATGGTCTTCTATTAAAAACCATATTGGTCTCTGTCAGACTGGTTCCAAACATTTCCCAATTATCCTATATTAACTTGACTTACTTATAATAGTCCAAATCTATAACCGAACGAGGTACAATCGAGTCCAAAGCCATTTTCAATTCTCCACTATTCTCCTTGGGATCCGGTGCAAATGGCAAATACTGGAAATCACACAAATCTGAAAATAAAAGAATTTGAATCAAGTTCATAATAAATTTTGAAAAATATAACACACTTTCGAAAGTAAAACTCTTTGTTGTATATCCTAATATTTTAACCACAAATTGTGGTGGTTTATTTGGATTGCGCTTAGAACGGCGAACCTTGATGGATAACAAGAGACCGGCCCGTTTGGCAACATCACCACATAATGGTTTATTAAATGGATTTTCTGGATGGAAACGTAGCTCCAAACGCTTATTCTCGCCACCCAGTGCCTGTGGAATAAAAATGGAAGTTGTTTAATAAGAACTCTAGAGAAAAATCTCACATTTCCACTTTACCTGTGACACCTTTGTCAAGCCACCCAAAGTGGCGATCATTTTGTCTGTATTCTTAACCAAGCCTGGGTATTCTATTAACTCATATTCATTTAGTTCTCTGGCCATCTCAAATAAAGTTTTTTATTCAATTTTCACAAGTCAAGTTTTTCCCCGATCATCCACATTATTCTGAATGTCTATAAACACCGTTTTGATGGTGTTGCCATATTTAATCTTTTGAACGAGCGAACCCTATTACATTTTTTTTTCGATCTAGTAATCCCTATTATCAGCTGCAACAGGTTATGTTTTGGCCCCCTTTTTCTAAACAAAGAAAGCCGGGAGAGGACAACATTGAAGGATGAGTTCCTTCCGATTTTATTCCAAAATAGCGCCAAAGGAAATATATCCGCGGTCAACAATCAAGATATTTCGTAGCAATAAGAAAGTGGAGAAGCAGCCAATCACCAAAGCAAACACAAAACCCCCTCCACAGGAGGCAGTTGCAAATGCGACAATATCTGCAAAAGAAGACACTAAACCAACAAAAACTCAGACCCATGAGACAATTCCTCCAAAAGAAGAACCAAAACGGACAACAAAAGGAAACACAGTAGCAAATAATGTATTTAATAAGGTTCCCAAGCCACGAAACAGTGAATATTATGAAAATCTGGTCAAAATTCAAATGCTCTCAAGTGGTTTGCACAAACAAATATTTCCCAATTCGAGACGAGATGATACCTCAAATATTTCCAACACCAAGGAATCAAAAATTAAAGAAGATTTACAGCGACATGGTATTGATATTGAAAGTACCGAAACACTGGAAGATGTAGATTTGAAATTACCACCTCTTAAGGGGAAAAATATTGAGGAACATTTCATGGAAATTGGCAGGGAACAGGTGAAAGCCTACAAGGAGCTTCTAATGCCCTTGGTTAATATCAAAACTCTTCCACGTAAACCAGAGAAATGGTCCTTACAAGAAGGCTGGACAATATATGATCCTGGGACAGGTACTGGACGTTCCATAGATTATCCCCAGGAAGACGGTCTGGTGTTCGATGTGGAGGTATGCCTGGCCGAGGGGCCAATGCCGACGCTTGCAACTGCTGTCAGTGAAAAACATTGGTACTCCTGGGTCAGTCCACGACTGGCTGCCGAGCAGCCCGAAATGAAAGTAAGTCAAAAAATACCCCACCACACAACAGATGAGTTAATACCATTGGGTCGGAGAGGACCAAAAATTGTAATAGGCCACAATGTCTCCTATGACCGGGCTAGATTAAAGGAACAGTATCTTTTGGAAGATACAAAAGTCCGTTTCTTGGACACCATGTCCTTACACGTGTGTGTCAGTGGTGTTACAAGCTATCAAAGAGCCCTGATGAAGTCCAAAAAAGAACCCGCTCCCGAGGATTTGGAATGGCTGAGTCAAAGCTCTTTGAATAGTCTGACGGAAGTACACCGTTTGTATTGTGGCGGTAAGCCAATAGACAAAGAAGAACGCAATATTTTTGTGGAAGGCACATTGCAAGATGTACGCCAGGAATTTCAATCTCTGATGACGTATTGTTCAAATGATGTGGCAGCCACTCATCGTATTTTGCAAAAATTGTTCCCCCTATTCGAGGAAAGATTTCCACATCCTGTAACCTTGGCTGGTATGCTGGAAATGGGTTCAGCCTATTTGCCGGTCAACAAAAATTGGTTGCGTTACATAAATGAATCTGATTTGGCCTATGAAGATCTTAGCATAGAAGCAAAATACCATTTGGCCAGTAGGGCAGATGAGGCTTGTAGTCTAATGGAAGGGGAAAAATATAAGAATAATCTATGGCTATGGGATGAAGATTGGTCTACCCAAGAGCTGAAAATGAAGAAGCCTCCCAGTAAGAAATGTCAAACCAAAGTGGAAGTGGATAATCCATTTCCCCCCGATCAGGAACTCAGCGATGAGGAAAAACGTTTGTATAAGAAATTTCAATATTTATATGAAACAAAGTCCCTCTTACCGGCTCGAAGGCCATTATTACCCGGCTATCCTGCTTGGTATCGGAAGTTGTGTCAAAAACCACCCAAACATGATGATGACAGCGATTGGAAACCAGAGCCCACGGAAATAAGTACTGGTATGCAAATTGCTCCAAAATTACTTTCTTTGTGCTGGGAAGGTTTTCCCCTACATTACAATCGCGAACATGGTTGGGGTTTTTTGGTACCCTTCACCACAAAACATTCTGAAGACGATGAGATGCAGGGTTCCGTGCGAGTACCCATCGAAGAACTTGCCAAACAATGTCCCATACCGGATTTTGCCCGCAACTATGCCTCACAAGAAGAAAGTGAATATGCATTTGATAATTTGCACAAAGAGTTGGATGCAAAATTGGGAAGACGAGACTTCTATAGCAAAGCTCCCAAGAAAAATCACACTGAAGGTCTATACAAAGGCTCCGGAGTGTGGTGCAATCAAATCCTGGACAACTGCTGTTTCTTTTTAAAGCTACCGCACAAAAATGGCAAAAGCTTAAGGGTAGGCAATCCTCTATCCCGGGATTTTCTGAATAAGTTTTCGGAAAATGTGCTGACCAGTGCCGACTCGAGTAGCAATGTGGCTGGTCGTATTATCAAAATAGCTCGCATGATGTCATATTGGCGTAACAATCGTGATCGGATTATTGGACAATTGGTGGTATGGCTGACACCGAATGAACTACCGGATGGTTTAAGAGCTCTGGATTATGAATATGGAGCAATTTGTCCACAAGTCGTGACATGCGGTACACTAACGCGTCGAGCTATGGAACCCACTTGGATGACGGCCTCCAATTCCCAAACCGAACGTATTGGTTCCGAGTTAAGGGCCATGGTGCAGGCTCCACCAAATTACAGAATAGTTGGGGCCGATGTGGACTCGCAGGAGCTATGGATTGCCTCGGTTCTGGGTGATGCCTATGCCTATGGCATACATGGTGCCACCCCTTTGGGTTGGATGACCCTTAGTGGCACCAAGGCGAAAGGCAGTGATATGCATTCTATAACTGCCAAAGCTGTGGGCATTTCCAGGGATCACGCAAAGGTTATAAATTATGCCAGGATTTATGGAGCTGGACAAAATTTTGCTGAAGGTTTGCTCAAGCAATTTAATCCCACATTTTCGTCAACTGAGGCACGTTCCAAGGCTATGAAAATGTTTGCCATTACCAAGGGCAAAAAATCCTATAGGCTAAGAAAAGAATTCCAGGAGGATTATGAAAATAGGAGGTAAGAAAGTCCATATAAAAATTGTTATATTATTTCATGTGTACATTTCCAGCTACTCCGGTTATGAAGCTTTGAAATTGGCCTCTTCGAACAATCGTGGTGTGGAAGAAATGTTTGAAAAAGCCCGTTGGGAGGGTGGCACAGAAAGTGCCATGTTCAATCGTCTGGAAGAGATAGCCAGCGGTGATGAACCAGTAACGCCTTTTCTAAGCGGTCGCTTGAGTCGTGCCCTAGAGACAAATGGCACATCCGATGAAAATCGTTTTCTACCCACCCGCATCAATTGGGTGGTCCAGAGTGGAGCTGTGGATTTTCTGCATTTAATGTTGGTTTCAATGCGTTGGCTTTTGGCCGACAAGGCAAGATTTTGCTTAAGTTTTCACGACGAATGTCGCTATTTGGTTGAGGAGAAATATGCCTATCAGGCAGCATTGGCAATGCATATTACCAATTTGCTGACACGGGCATTTTGTTCCTCACGGCTGGGTTTGACCGATCTACCCATGTCGGTGGCATTTTTTTCTTCCGTCGAAGTTGATACGGTATTGCGCAAGGAATGTACCATGGATTGTGTGACACCATCGAATCCTCATGGTCTGAAGGTGGGCTATGACATACAACCCGGTGAAAGTTTGACTGTTTACGAGGCCATTAAAAAGTCGGGTGGTAACGATTTGACCAAGTGGCAGTGGATCAGCTACAAATAGTACTTTTTTTTATTCGATAACATAGTTTTTACAATGAAATTTGTTGTATAATTTTAGGTTTAAAATTGAACTGCAAATATATGTGTTATGGTCCAATAAGGGACCTTATTGTTAAATTATAAATAGATTTATAATTAAAAATGGAATATCTAAGAGGTATGAATAAATAACACTATTTACAAGTATCTAAACATAAAGGCTACGTTCATCCTACTCATCTTCTTCACTGGGAACATAATCAGATCCACTTGAACCTGCAAACGGATCAAAATCACTATCGTCTTCCTCGTCGTCATCAAGATATTGGTCGCTAGTCCTAGCTGAAATACAGAGGACAATAACAAATACATTTATTGATTATTGTATTTCATAGCTTACCAACTGGCCGAGGATGACGAAAGTTTCGAAAATGGTCAGCATTTTTTCTATAACAACGCCGGCCATATTTACATTTAGGAGCCCCCGCCACCGGTGATGGCATACGCGGCACTTGATAGTCTTCATCTCCAGGATGGGCTTTTTCCACACGATGGTTGGGATTTGTTCTAAAATGAAAGTAAAGTTATTTTAAAGCCTTTAAATGTCCGGATAAATCGCCAATGTCGTATTCTTATTGAATTGGATTGATTGTATATCCAAGCATAATTCCATTAGACTCATTGGAATTTGATGTAGGTAAATAAACGTCGATTTCATTGTTGATATTGGTTTAGCACTTGTTTTATGTTGTGATGAAATTCCAATGACTGGCACGCATGGATTTGGCAACGAGGTTTTTGTCTAATACTTTCTTTATTATATACCTATAACATTCCTGTCCATATTCGCAGGACGGACGTGCCACTGCTTGAGTACTTGATTCACCCATAATTTCACAAAAATCCCTCGCAATGAGATTTGTTTACAGACTAGAATTAAATCAAAGTAAGGGGTGCTTTAGACTAGACGATTGCATATTATCGATTATTATTTAATAGTCAATTAAAGTCGATAGTGGTCTCATCGTACCTTTGCCAGATCCAATTGGATTTGTTTAGTGCAATTGATTTCCAAAAAATTTACGAAAATACCGGGAAACAATAATTCACACATAGTTCCACAAAATTCCCTCGCAATGAGAATTGTTTACAGACTAGAAGAAAATCAAATTAAGGTGTGCTTTAGACTAGACGATTACATATTATCGATTATTATTTAGTAGTCAATAGCACCCGGTAGTGTTTGTCATCGTCCCTTTGCCAGATCCAATTGGATTTGTTTTTAGTTTGGAGCAATTGATTTCCAACAAATTTCACGAAAATGCCGGGAAACAACGGACGCCATCATCAATTTAAGAAGAATTTCAAGAAAGACCGCCCCTTAATCGATGAAAATAATCCCGTGCTAAAAGCTTTCCAAGCATATGCCATTGAATTGGATGCAAAACATGATCGCTATGAACGCATTGTCAAAATGAGTCGTGACATTACCATTGAGTCGAAAAGGATCATCTTTCTGTTACATTCCATCGACATACGTAAGAATAACAAACAAAAGGTATTGGATGAGGCCCAGACGCGTTTGGAAAAAGTGATAACCTGCAATTTCAAAGCCATTGCTGAAGAATTGCATGACCATGATCCATATCAATTTCGTGGTGCATATTCTCCGGGTCTACAAGAATTCATCGAGGCCTATACCTTTATGGAGTACATAAAATATGTTGAAAACGAGGAGGACTCAAATCAGGGAGAAATGATTGATTGGAATGGACTGCAAAAGAAAATGACTTATCCAGCCGGGGAGGATAATGCTGATCAATCCAACAGCGTGGAAAAGTCATTCTTTGTCGATCCCAATGAATATATTTTGGGTGTCTCTGATCTCACCGGAGAGCTTATGCGCCGCTGTATAAATTCTTTGGGAAGTGGTGAAACTGATACTTGTCTATCCTGCTGTAAAGCACTGCAGAAATTTTATACAGGGTAAAATTGAAGTTCGAACATTTTCATCTAACATTTATCTTTTTGTAGTTATTTCAGTATAAATGTCCGCCGATGCCGTGAGTTGTCACGTAAAATTTACACAATGCGCCAGAGTGTTTTGAAGGCCGAAAATGTTTGCTACAACGTCAAGGTTCGGGGTGGTGAAGCAGCCAAATGGGGTGCCATGTTTGATGGTAAATCCATTGGTGATGATATTGATGAGGGATTTTTCTAAGCAATCAACAATCTGCGGAATTTTTTAAAAATATAATTTTAAGTCTTTTTATTATTCTTTGATATTAACGTTTTTCACCAAAACTGAATTTTTTTATTTTAACATTAATGGAATAAAAACTCGCCCATGGTCCAAAATATCGAACTTTTTAAGAAACTCTGAATGTTTGGCTTAAATCTTTAAGGTAAAGATATTAGCATATGATGGAAACCAAATCGAATGGGTATAATATATGAATCGCCATATATGTCTTAATTATTTTATTTAAATAAAAAAATATAAAACAGTCTTAACTTTGGCTTATTACAAATCGGGTCGAAATGGCACCAAGATAGCCTTTACATTCCGGAGAGTCACGCATAATAGATCCGAAAGGGAAATCTTTTCATTTTACTGTGAACAAAAACAAAGTTCATGTAACGAGGCATTTATTTAAAAATATACTTAAAAGATTAATTACAAAACGTACATTAAATAATGAATTTAGCTTTCTACAATCTGATTTGGCTGAATATTCTCCTCATTTCCTTCTTCAGGAATACCCAACAATTTCATTTGTAAACGTAAAATTTCTGGCTTGGCAACTACGAGTTGTTTGCGATAGTCGCCTAGTAGCTCCATTAAATATACACGTTTGTCTTTTACTTCATGTATTTGCTGACGTAATGACTTATTCTCCTGCATAACTTCGTCCAGTTGCGTTTGCTGATACTTCAATTGAGCTTGTAGATAGCGTAGACGTTTCTCCTTGAACTGCATTCGTATAGGCAATGTACGTTCCAGTGGAGTTTTATTATCCAAGTTCCTAAAAATTTTTTATGAATTGAAATTGAGCTTGTTCTGTCACATCAAATTAATACTTACCAACTGTGCCCCTCATAGGACTTGAATTTCTCCTTACACATTTCCAATGAAATTAAAGCCTCCGAGACTCCAGCATTATGCCAAAAATTATTCAATGTATTGATCATTTGTTTCTGCAGATTATTGCGTACACTTTGGACGATTTGTTCACGATGTTTGAGAACGATTTTCTCTCTTTCCATTAGAGTTTTTGCAATTGGTTCTAGGTGGGACTCCTTTAAGCCAGTCCACATTTCATTGTATAACCTTTCGTATTCTTGGCGGACATTTTCACCAAAATCTTGCAATTTTATAAAATTATCTTCAACATTCTCGATTGTTTCTAAATTTTTTGACATTTTTATATGCTCCTCTTGTGTCTCTGGATTACTTTTGCACAACTCCCTTCAAATTGAAAATGCCCGCTTTGATGTGCCGTTCACTTGCTGTTCACTGAAAGAAAAAAATGAACCAGTAATATTTTTGATAACATTTTCAAAGGACAAATTTCATATTCACCAAATTTTTAAATTTTATAAAATTCTCTTCAACATTCTCGATTGTTTCTAATTTTTTGACATCTTTTTTTGTACGTTAGGCCTTTTGTATTATTTTCTATACTTTGCACAACTTCCTTCAAATTGAAAATTTCCGCTTTGGTGTGCCATTCAGTTGCGGTTCACTGAAAAGAAAAAGTGAGCGAGTTCAATTTTTGATAAGTTTTTCAAAGGATTTGGGGAGTAGTTTTACGAAATAGAAAAAAATTGTGTTTTGTTAATAAAAAAACACAGACATATTAAGAAATGTGTGGTTATTAACATAAGTTCTCAATTTTGTATTTATACAATTTAATTATAAGCGCTGTTGTGAACACAGTTAGTGAGAGAGCAAGAACAGCTGATTTTACAGCCCCCCAACGAAAAGCAATGCAAGATAAACACACCCAATACAATGTTGACAGGTGTTTCTACTGTTATCGTTGCACAAAGTCCACCACTAAAAACTTGACATTTATTGATGACGTTTTTTTCTCGCTCCGCTCTCATATGTGTCAATATATCGTGATAATTTTTTCTTCCTAATTAAAAAGGCAAAAAGTCAAATTATATCAATATATTTTTAATAGAATTTACACAAAAAACCGGAGAAAAGAAATAAATTTCATCAAAATGGAGGATATTGAGTAGATTTGAAGTGGAGAGCTGTAGAAAAACAAAAGGAAACGAGGAAAAGTGTTCTGGTTTACAATTGTCGATTGTGTGTGGAAATTGCTGTGTGCGTGTGTGTGTATGGTGGGCCAAGCAGCCACCTCTCATTGACACATCAAACCCAACAATCAATCCAACGACGACGATAGCGCACCACTTTTCAAACTTTTTTCATCATATTGAATTGAAATTTCATACACATGTAAAGACCTTGATGCATAATGCAAAGTTTCTCTACGAAAACTAAAGAAATGTTTATAGTGCGTGCTCTAGAGAAAATCCTTGCCGACAAGGATATAAAACGTTCCCAAAATTCACAGTTAAAGAAATCATGCGACACGGCATTGGAACAAATTAAGGCTGAGCTTATTAGTGCTGGCCAAATAGCAGAAGGTAATGAGCTCCCCTGTGCTGCCCTGCCGTTGCCGAAAAATGATGCAGCCAGTATTATTAATGCGGAGACTTATTTTCTGCCATTTGAGTTGGCCTGTAAGAGTCGTTCGCCGCGTATTGTTGTAACGGCTTTGGATTGTTTGGAGAAATTAATAGCATATGGCCATTTGACGGGAGCCATACAGGATTCGTCGAATCCGGGTCACTTGCTTATTGATCGTATTGTCAATACCATATGTGGCTGTTTTAATGGGCCCCAAACGGATGAATGTGTTCAGCTGCAGATAATAAAAGCTCTGCTGACAGTGGTCACTTCGCAACATGTTGAAATACATGAAGGAACTGTTTTGCAAGCTGTCCGCACTTGCTATGACATCTATTTGTCCAGCAAGAATTTGGTTAATCAGACAACGGCATGTGCTACCCTTACACAGATGTTGGATGTCATATTTTCGCGTATGGAAAACCAGGTATACGAGGTAGCTGCTCAGGCAGCATTGGCAGCTTCGCAGGCGAATAATGGCCACCATGATGCGAATACATCGCAGGCCTCCGAGGCTAGCTGTAGTGTGAAGAGTAGTGTTGGCGGTAGCACCGATGTCGAGGAGACACCAGAATCCGTTGCAGCTGCAGTGGTGGATGAAATATTGAATGGTAAGATAATAATTTGCAGGGCGTCCGGTCGTGATAGAGACCACCAAAAACTTTAATTTTTTAAAAAATATGAAACACTTGCCATTTTTAAGAATTACTTAAAAACTATCTCCTTTTGCTTTTGCAGCTGCCATAGTAGAAGTTCTAAAGGAGACCGGTGCTCTTGAAGATAACTCGACAGCCGAAGAAGAACAAACAACTCCAAATAACATCAGTGGAAATGCTAACAATACCAGTACCAATAATATATCCACAACTGGCTCGGAAGGTACTGGTAACAATCATATGGCATCAGATCAAAGTGGCCACAATCATCAGCAAAATTCCGAGGAAAGTGTTGAAGTCCACAGTGAAAATGATGCTGTGGTTACGGCTAAATTTACACATGTTCTGCAGAAAGATGCTTTTTTGGTTTTTCGAGCTTTGTGCAAGTTATCCATGAAACCATTGCCAGAAGGACATCCCGATCCCAAATCCCATGAACTGCGGTCAAAAGTTCTCTCACTGCGCCTACTATTGTCGATTTTACAAAATGCTGGTCCCGTATTTCGATCCAATGAAATGTTTATTATGGCCATTAAACAGTACCTGTGTGTGGCCTTGTCCAAGAATGGTGTTAGCCTGGTGCCCGAAGTGTTTGAATTGTCGCTGTCGATTTTTGTGGCACTCCTTTCGAATTTCAAAATTCATTTGAAAAAACAAATTGAGGTATTTTTCAAGGAGATATTTTTGAATATTTTGGAGGCCACTTCAAGTTCATTTGAACACAAATGGATGGTTATCCAGGCCTTGACAAGAATCTGTGCCGATGCCCAGTCTGTGGTCGATATCTATGTAAATTATGATTGTGATTTTCAAGCTGCTAATCTCTTCGAAAGACTTGTCAATGATTTGTCCAAAATTGCTCAAGGTCGTCAGGCTTTGGAACTGGGTGCTAATCCCATGGAAGAGAAATCCATGCGTATACGTGGCCTGGAATGTCTGGTGTCCATTCTAAAATGTATGGTAGAATGGAGTCAAGATCTTTATGTAAATCCCAATATGCCTTCCTTGAATGCCCATGAGGGCACAGCTACAGCCCATAATAGATCGGGCCATTCCGTAGACTTACAATCCCCCACAGATAATGCCGATGCCGTATCTCATACAAATACCCTGGGTATACGTTCAATTCATGGCGGTTCGAGTCACAGTTTAAATTCCTATGGCAGTGTTAAAAACAATGAAGTTCTCGATTTACCCGAAGCCCTGGAGGAGAGAAAAATGCGCAAAGAAGTCATGGAGCAGGGCATAGAGTTGTTCAATCGCAAACCAAAAAAGGGTATACAGTTTTTGCAGGAAAAACAGCTGGTGGGAGCCACACCCAAGGACATAGCCAAATGGCTGCATGAAGATGATCGTCTGGATAAGACGGCCTTGGGCAATTATATTGGAGAAAATGATGATCATTCCAAGGAGGTTATGTGTGAATATATTGATGCTTTTGATTTCACTTCTCTAGAGGTCGTTGCAGCTTTGCGCATGTTGCTGGAGGAGTTCCGCCTGCCGGGAGAGGCACAGAAAATTGATCGTCTCATGGAGAAATTTGCAAGTCGTTACTGTGAATGTAATCCCAATAATCCACTGTTCCAGTCGGCCGATACCGTCTACGTTTTGGCCTTTTCCATTATTATGTTGACCACAGATCTGCACTCACCGCAAGTCAAGAACAAAATGACCAAGGAACAGTACATCAAATTGAATCAGGGTATCAGTGATAGCAGAGACGATTTACCCGTCGACTATTTGTCTTCGATTTACGATGAAATCGCTGGCCATGAAATTAAAATGAAAAATACCGTGGTAAATAAGCCCGGCAAGCAGATAATTGCCAATGAGAAGAGGCGCAAGTTGTTGTGGAACATGGAAATGGAAGCGATTTCCACCACGGCAAAAAATCTCATGGAATCTGTATCCCATGTCAAATCACCATTTACCTCGGCCAAACATCTGGAACATGTTAGGCCCATGTTCAAAATGGCATGGACACCGTTTTTGGCAGCATTCTCTGTGGGTCTGCAAGATTGCGATGATCCCGAAATAGCCTGCCTTTGTTTGGATGGTATCCGATGTGCCATACGTATTGCTTGCATCTTCCATATGACATTGGAACGTGACGCCTATGTACAGGCATTGGCCCGGTTTACCTTGCTTACGGCCAATTCTCCGATCAATGAAATGAAGGCGAAAAATATTGACACGATTAAGACGCTGATTATGGTAGCTCATACGGATGGCAACTATTTGGGTTCCAGCTGGTTGGATATTGTTAAATGCATAAGTCAATTGGAATTGGCCCAGCTGATTGGTACGGGTGTAAGGCCGAAATTTTTGTCTGGTGCCCAGACCACACTCAAGGATACCCTGAATCCCAGTGTCAAGGAGCACATTGGCCAGACAAGCAGTCAGAGTGTGGTGGTTGCAGTTGATAGGATTTTCACCGGTTCCATTCGTCTGGATGGTGATGCTATTGTGGATTTTGTTAAGGCCTTGTGTCAGGTATGTTGGAGATTCTATTTCGCATGAGATATTTTATCAATTTTTTGTTCTTTCAGGTCTCCGTTGAGGAATTGCAAAACACGCAACCACGTATGTTCTCCCTGCAAAAGATTGTGGAGATTTCCTACTACAACATGGAACGTATCCGTTTGCAATGGTCCCGCATCTGGCAAGTTTTGGGTGAACATTTCAATACGGTCGGCTGTAATATGAATGAGGAAATCTCCTTCTTCGCCCTGGACTCTTTGCGCCAACTTTCAATGAAATTCATGGAAAAAGGAGAGTTTGCCAACTTCCGTTTCCAAAAGGATTTCCTGCGACCCTTTGAACATATTATGAAAAAGAACCAGTCACCGGCCATACGTGATATGGTCGTGCGCTGTATAGCTCAAATGGTGAACTCCCAGGCCCGCAATATTAAATCGGGTTGGAAAAATATCTTTTCAATTTTCCATTTGGCAGCGGGTGATCATGAGGAAGCCATTGTAGAACTGGCCTTTCAAACTACCGGCAAAATTATTGGCGAACTGTATCAGAAACAATTTGCCATAATGGTTGATTCCTTTCAGGATGCTGTCAAATGTCTATCTGAGTTTGCGTGCAATGCCCGATTCCCTGATACCAGTATGGAGGCGATACGTTTGGTGAGGACATGTGCCCTGTGCGTTCACGAGTCCCCCCAATTGTTTGCCGAACATGCCGGCATGGAAAATGATATTTCCGTTGCTGAAGAAGATCGTGTGTGGGTGCGAGGCTGGTTCCCCATGCTGTTCTCCCTGTCGTGTGTTGTAAACCGTTGTAAACTGGATGTGCGGACACGCGGCCTCACGGTGCTCTTTGAAATTGTCAAAACTCATGGTGATAGCTTCAAACCGAATTGGTGGAAAGATTTATTTAATGTGATCTTCCGTATATTCGACAATATGAAATTACCTGAACATGTTACCGAGAAATCCGAATGGATGACCACCACCTGCAATCATGCTCTGTATGCCATCATCGATGTGTTTACACAATATTTCGATGTCCTGGGCCATCTGTTGCTGGAGGATTTGTTTGCCCAGCTACACTGGTGTGTTCAACAAAATAATGAGCAATTGGCCAGGTCGGGTACAAATTGTTTGGAAAATCTGGTAATTTCCAATGGCTTTAAATTCAACGAAGCCACTTGGGATAAAACCTGTCAATGTATATTGGACATATTTAATGCTACCTTACCTGGAGAGCTATTGACTTGGCGACCAAATCCTCAGCAACAACAGCAGATGCAAATCCAAATGCAGCAGCACCAGCAGCAGCAACATCAAATGCAAAACTCAACAAATCTACAGAGAAAAAATTCCCAATCGCGTAGCAGTGGTGATGGCCTTAATCGTTCATATTCCCAACATTCCGTTTATAGTCATACCGGCAGTTTTGATGAGGACAACACACTTTCGAGTCATCATCATCATCCCCAACACACTGTGGTTCCTGTTGTGCCCCAAAATCCAGCTCTCTTCGAGAGTCTCAACATCAAATGTGTTGTACAATTGGAACTGATACAAACTGTAGATAATATTATATTCTTCCCTGCCACATCGCGTAAAGAAGATGCCGAAACATTGGCGCAGGCCGCCGCTGATTTAACCGGCAATTGTCCGACACAAGCCATATTGGATTGTCAACGTGAAGAACAGGGCATGTATAGTTATTTGCGCACCCGTCAGCTGTTAACTCTGGCCGATTGCCTAATGCAATCGCATCGTTTCGCCAAACGTTTCAATGCCGATCAGGAACAGCGTAACATACTGTGGCGGGCAGGCTTTAAGGGTTCGATCAAGCCAAATTTACTGAAACAGGAAACGGCTTCGTTGGCATGTGTTCTGCGTATATTCTTCAAAATGTATGGCGATGAGAATAGACGTAGCGATTGGCCGGGCATTGAGCAGGAACTGGTGCAAGTGTGCAAGGAGGCATTGACCTACTATTTAAGTTTACAGAGTGAGGCACATCGGGATGCATGGACATCGTTGTTGCTGTTGATTTTAACGAGATTACTTAAGATGGCCGATGATAGGGTAAGTAGCTATTGTGTATTTGAATTTAAAACCTTCCTGAACGGCGAGAGGGCATCTATATATCACTTGTAAGAGGTTAGATAATTGTGGCTAAAGACTTCCAGTATTCTTGCGAGAATATATTTTTTAGAGCTTTGGAGGACAATTTCTTTGGAGGGCGTTTTCTTTCGAGAATATAATTTTTAGAGCTTTGAAGGGCATTTTTATAAAATCAGCCATATGGCTGAAGAGGGTATAAAACATTTGATACGGCCAAAACCTGCCTCATCGAAATAACGGTTTTAGGCCCTGGGCCTCTTTGGATCAAATCCGTTTCAGGACATTTGGAGTCGATCTAGCGATGTCCATCCGTCTGTCTGTCTGGCTGGTGCGCACTATAACCCTCGAAGGGAGTATCCGATTTGATCTGAAACTTGGTACATCGTAATATTTTTGTCAAACTTAGATCGATCTCAGAGATGGGCAATATCGGTTCACTCCTTCTGGTACCTCCCCCACAATATGTCAACATTTTCAGAGAAGATAATTTCCAGCATAGAAAGAGAAAGGATAATCCGATTTTGCTCCAACTCCTAATATTTGCATCAGTGCTAGGTCAGGTGCGAAAATTGACAATACCTCCCCCACAAAGGGTCAACATTTTGAATAATTATAACTCTTGCAAAATGTTGATGTAGGTGTCCGATTGTTCTTAAATTACACATATCACAATATTTTTATTAAACCAAGGTCTGGTGTTAAGACGGAATATAACGGTTCATTCCTGCTGGTACCTCCCCCACAAAGGGTCAAAATGTTGAATATTCATGAAGCTCTTACAACGGGAAATTTACATCCGATTCCATGCAGACTTAGTACATTTCAATATTTCCATCAACACTTGATCTGTTATAACGATGGTGGAGATCGGACCATTGCTTCTGGTACCTCCCCCACAAAGGGTCAAAGTTTTGAATAACCAAAACGGTCATAAAATTCGAAATAAGCATCCGGTTCTCTTCAAATTATACACCTCACAATATTTTATTAAACCAAGATCTGGTGTGAAGATGGGATGTATTGGTCCACTTCTTCCGGTACCTCCCCACAAAGGGTCAAAATTTTAATTATAACTCTCATAAAATGTTGATATAAGTGCCCGATTGTCTTCAAATCACACACATTAAAATATTTTTTTTAATCAAGGCCTGACGTGAAGATGGAATATATTGGTCCATTCCTTCTGGTACCTCCCACACAAAGGGCCAAAGTTTTGAATAACCAAAACAATCATAAAATCCGAAATAAACATCCGGTTCTCTTCAAATTACACACCCCACAATATTTTTACTAACCCAGGGTGTTTGAAGATGGAATGTATTGGTCCACTCCTTCTGGTACCTCCCCACAAAAGGGTCAAAATTTTGAATAATTATACCTCTTATAAAATGTTGCAATGTTTTCAAATTACACACATCACAATATTTTTATGAACCCAATGTCTGGTGTGAAGCTGAGATGTATTGGTCTACTACTTCTGGTACCTCCCCCACAAAGGATCAAAATTTTGTATATTCATGAAGTTCATAAAAAGGGAAATTAACATCCGATTCCATTCAGAATTGGTACATCCCAATACACAATCTGTTATAAAAAATCGGAAAATTTCCTCTGGTACCTTCCCCACAAAGGGTCAAAGTTTTGAATAACCAAAACGCTCAAAGAAAGCGAAATAACCATCCAACTCCTTCTGGTACCTGACCCACAAAGAGTCACAATTTTCAATAGTTTTATCTGTCAGAACTTGCGAAACAAGTTAGCGGTTCCTTACAACCTGAGGTAAATATGAAATTTATGATTTTGCATGAAATTGGATATATATGTTCGATTTCCTTTAATGGAATATCTCGGTACCTCTTTTCCAAAAATTTGCAAATAGTATAGAAGGTAGTCGATATTGTCCAAATCTGGCTCGTTGTAATATTTATATCAGTCTTATGTCAGATACGAAGGGTCAACAGTTTAAATAAGCATAACTCATGGCTGGGGGTATACAGGGAGAGATGAAAAAAACTGCAACCAAATTCAGATTGCTGTCATTATAAAGCCACTCGTCCGACAGCTGTTAAAATTATTCCAGTGACAGCTCATTATTATTGTTTACAAGCATACAAAAGCATTCTGGTGAGAATTTTTCAGAAAAAAAGTTATTCGTGATGGAATTCAAGCGTGAAAGTTTGATTTCTTTATATTTGGCTGGAAAATCCCATAAAGGGTCAACAGTTTGAATAATCATAACTCCAGGCTCCGGTAAAACCGACTGATACTATTTTATTTGTTAAAAAAACACTCATATTTCAAATATCACTTTCCCCCTTTTATTTCTTTGTTTCCAGTTTGCCACCCATGTCTCCAACTACTATACGTTACTGTGTGAAATGATGTGTTTCGGTATGAAACCAGAATTACGAAGTGTCCTTAGACGTGTATTTTTGCGTATCGGTCCTGTTTTTAATATATCTAATGCAAAATAGTGTTTAATAAGACAACGGTACAGCAAACAACCCCAACAACAACAGTCCATTGGTAAAAAGTATTCGAAACGAGACGATATATAAATTCGAAAAGAAATTAATAAAATTTAATAAAATTTAAACATATAAATATATACAAAATAAATAATAGTGTTTCTAAAACTAATAATAATAATAAAATTGAAAAAATATTATGTATTTATATATAAAGGAAATATATTTATTCGCGACAATGGAATGTAGATTTAAAAAATTTTTTTTAGTTTGTTACCTGTTCTCCCCAAAATCAAAATGGAAATATAATAATATTATACTAAGAAGGATATTTCTAATAATTATTTAGTTCGATTTGAATTGCTTACATTATTTAAGGTTTGAATTCAAATTTAGTTAATGTCATTTTTATTATAAATTTACAATAGAAGTTGTGCTTACCGGGAGTTGATTTTCTTGTTTAATAGACATATTACATTTGGTTTTTTTCTGTTATAAAATACTACAAATCAATGAACCCTAAAGTCTCTATACGTGCCTGTGGTCATTGTCCATTTTCAAAAACAAAAAATTATATAAAATATTATTAATTATAATAACATACCACACAATTATTAAATAACTAGTCCCCATGCTTCGTATTCCCCTTTTTGTTTGGTTTTATTTTCCATGAAATTTAGTCTTTTTTGAGACAGTTCATCTATTCCAAAATTTGGTCGTTCAAAGCCCGTATAAAAAAAGAAATTGAAAAATATTTATTAAATTTGTAATATATGAAAATAAAGTAAACATAACCTTAAAACTTCATAGGATATTTCCCATAAGTATTTTAACAAAAAACAAAACGAGTGATTGGTTAATACAACAATATTATATGTGATTCTTTATTAGCAAAATACTGTATCTCTCAGCAGGAAGTATAAAAAAATATATATGGTAACCAAAATATATATAAAACTCAACCCTAATATACATATAGGCATTTCAATAACATAAAAACAAATCACGAAGGTGATGACGACAAGTTAAGGTACTATGAGATGATTACAAATTCGGAAAAATACATTTTTTAATTTTTCTTTTTTTTTTCATACAATAGTAAAAATATTTATTAACAAAAAATATATAAATTGATAAAATGGACTATTATTAAATTATAAATAAAAAATACAGAATAATCGTATATTTAGTTATAGATTATAAAAAAAGTAATGATAATAAACAAATTAAATAAAAAAACTGTAAAAATAAATTTAAAACAATATAACTAAAAACGTACATTTATTCAATAGAACAAATATTCATGCAATAAATCATAAATACCTAAATACTATAAAGAAATATTTTAAGAATATTAAAAAAATAAAGTTAATGCCTTATAAATATGTATGTATGTATGTAAATGAAGTAGTATTCGCATCATTGAAATTATATTTTTTTATTTGGAATTTTGTAAACAGATCTGGAGATCTGCATTTGTAAACACACATTTCAATTTTGTAGTTCAAACATTTGAATTGTCATAAATGTACTGTTGATAAAAAATGAAGGCTCTTCCATGGTACAATAAAAAGGTAAGGTAGAGCCGTCAGCTGATTACATTTTTTTTCTATGTGTGCCCGACTTCTGACAATTTTGTGTATGTATTTGTTGTTTTGATGAAAATGAAAACAAAATATTTTCAAAATCAATGATTGGAAGACGCGTAAATTGCGAGACGTGCATTAAAGCTATTCGCCAGTCTTGCCATTGAAATTGAAAGATAGAACTTTTCAGATCATAATTTTGAAAAAAGAAAATCCAGGCATTTCATTAATTTTTCTCGCTGTTTAAGAGATTTTAAAAATGAGAAAAAATGCTGAGTAAATGAAAACAACTTGTTGCCTACAAATTTGACAAGAAGCGGGAATAGCTTCAGGGCTGTATTTCTGTAGTTTTACGAAGCTGTTCTACCTCCTTATTGTACCATGGGTTCTTCCATCTTCACTTTAACTATATTTACCCATTATCTATAGAAGACCATTCAAAGAGTTCCTGCGGATAGAAGATCGTAACAGATGGATATTTTTCTGCAGAAATCTATTTTAACGGTCTTCATTCTTTAAACCGCTTTGAATCGTTTTATATCTACAGGGTAAGATGAAAAAACTGCAACCAACATCAGACTACTGTCATTTCCAAAACATCCGTCCGACAGCTGTTAAAATTTTTCCAGTGACAGCTCATTATATTGTTTACAAGTGGCGTACAAAAGCATGTTGGGGAGAATTTTCCAGAAAAAAAATTATTCGTGATGGAATTTAAGCGTGATAGTTTGATTTCTTTATATTTGGCTGGAAAACCACAAGTGGTTATCGTTAGAGCACTCCAGCATTTAAATGGGAATAAATCTTTTGGTGTCTCGTACCATCACTCGTTACCGTGATACTGGTAGCGTAGCCCGACGTCAAGGTCAGAAATGGTTCGAAAGGTAAAGAAGCGACTTCGAATCGAAATCCGCGTCGCAGTGACCGAAAAATGGCTCGTAAGCTGCACATATCTCAATATTCCATCGAAAAATGAGCTCGGAGTAAAGCCATTGAAATTCCGATGAGAAAACATTCGTTGTCCAGCAGTTTGTAAACAAACAAAATTATAGAGTTTACTTGACAAAAAGATCAGCTGAAAATGTGCACCAAAACTCAAGCGCCGGCCATGGTGATGGTGTGGTGTGGGCCGCCATAACAGCCGATGGTCGCTCTCCGCTCGTATTAATCGAACATGGCATCAGAATAAATGCCGAACATTATCGTGAAAATATTCTGGAGGGTGTATTAAAGCCTTGGGCATGCAAACATTTTGACCGCAGACCTTGGACATTGCAACAGGACTCAGCACCATCGCCACCATCAGCACGTGCCACCCAAGAAAGGTTACAAAATGAGATTCCTCGCTTCATTTCCAGCGCACAATGGCCACCACCAAAATCTCCGGATACCAATCCGTTGTACTATTGTGTCTAGACTATTTTGGAAAGCAATGTTGGCACTAAAAAATACCAAATTGTCGATCACCTAAAGCAAGCAATACCACAGAGGAATATTCGGGCACCCTGCGACGGTTTCATTTGCCGTTTGAAGGCCAAAATTCGTGCCAAAGGTTACCAATTCGAACAAATCTACACTTATTCTAAAATTTGATGCTATTTCCGATATTTTTGCTTTCATTCAATAAAATTAAAAAAAATTGTACAAATTATCGCGTTTGAATTTTGAAATTAAAAAACTGTCGGAAATAGCATCAAATTTTACAATAAGTTTTGATTTGTACTAATTGGTCACCTTTGGCTAGAATTATGGCCTTCAAACGGCCAATGAAACCGTCACACGCTGGCCGAATGTTACTCTGCGGTATTTTGGCCCATTCACGCTTGAATTCCATCACGAATAATTTTTTCCTGGAAAATGCTCACCAAAATGCTTTTGTACGCTTGTAAACAATATAATGAGCTGTCACTGGAATAATTTTAATAGCTGTCGGACGAGTGGCTTAGAAATGACAGCAGTCTGAAGTTTGTTGCAGTTTTTTCATCTCACCTTCTTAGTTCCTTAAAAACGATTGTATCCTTTTCCTTCTTTTTATTGGCTGTACTATTGACTCATTTTGAATTTTTTCTTTTTCTTAGGAATTTATGCATTTATCCCCAAAAAATGGTATCAAGATTTCCAGAATTAAAAAACAATCCCATTTTTCAAAATTGAAATAATACAAATATAAAAAAAACACTCAAACCCGAACATTGAATGGTAAGTATAGATGATTTATGTATTAATCGAATTTGTACTGTAGAATTTCCACTTTAAATTTCAATTCTGTAGCAACTCGCTAAACCATTTTAGAAATCCTATTTGGTAGCTTAGTCTCTCTCGTAGATATTTTTTGGTTAAGTTCCAATGGTAATTTTTACTTTCCATTTTCAGAAAAAGTGAAAAAATTTTGTAAATTGTTGTTGTGTCAAATGAAATATGGAAATGAAAGAAACCTTACAGTCAAATTCAATTCAAAATCCTTTATCAAAAAAGTGCTACAACAGAATTCGAAATCATTTTCAAGAGAAATGAGATTATAAACAAAACGGGGTAAGTAATTCAGATTTTCTTTATATTTTCAACATTTATTATGAATTATCTTTAACCTCTGTCGAGGCAGGCTATATAGACGGTTAAAATATAATGAGATTTCATATTTATTGTTTAATTGTCGGGTATAAATTTTGACCAATACGAATTGAGGTTGACATTTCATCCATAGCTTTGTTTTGTCAAAATCGTTCTTGTTCTACCATTCTTCTATTGCCCCAAGGATTACAAGGAGGAATATTCTCAGCATTGATTCCAGCTTGATCTGATCGTCTTGTAAATTTTCGACATACCAGAATATGTTTCCTTAGAAAAAAAATTGAAAGGACCTGTCATCGAAACCATCGATAACATCCTGTTGTGGTAAATAATCAGTTCAAGAACGAATTGGCGCCCAACATTTCAAACATGGCCGTTGTTGTCAGAGTCTTATGTTTTTGACAATAAGTTCACGTGACAATCCATGGCCGATTAGAGCTCTCTTCACTCCGGGTCGTAGACACGACTATCATGAAAATGAAAACTTTGACTCCCACATAATCGTACCTCCCTATTTTCAGTATTTTGATGATTTTAGCGACATTATTCATTGGAATTGTTTCAAATTTGGTATTTGAAGTTCGTAATGGATACTACAGCCTAAGACAGAAAATTGTCTGTGTAGGTCCACGTCTTCGTATATCCTCCATTTAACGGCACCTCCCGATATTAGGTATTTTGATGAGTTTAGCGACACTATTCACCTGAAATGTTTGAAATTTGGCATTTGAAGTTCGTAATGGATACTACAGCCTAAGACTGAAAATTTTCTGTGCAGGTCCACGTCTTCGTATAGCCCCCATACCATGCTATCTCCCGATATTCGGAATTTTGATGATTTCAGCGACATTATTCACCGGAATTGTTTCAAATTTGGTATTTGAAGTTCGTAATGGATGCTACAGCCTACGACAGAAAAATGTCTTTTCAGGTCCACGGCTTCGTATAGCCCCCATAATCGGCACCTCCCGATATTCCATATTTTCATGATTATAGCGACATTATTTACCGGAATTACAAATTTGGTATTTGAAGTTCGTAATGGATACTACAGCCTAAGACAAAAAATTGTCTGTGCATGCCCAGGTCTTCGTATAGCCCCCATTTAATGGTACCTCCCGATATTCGGAATTTTGATGATTCTAGCGACATTATTCACCGGAATTGTTTCAAA